CTGAGAAATGCTGCCAAATGGCTGTTTAAAAAAATGCAGAGCCATGGGTAAGAAATGCTTCAACAGCTGAAGTTCAGCTCAGCTGAGAAGAAAATCCAAATGAGTTGAACCCTGTCAAATTGGGAACTTGATGGTCTCATTCCATTGCATTCTGCTCCAGAAGACTCAGTAGCTGAGAGGAGTTGAGCTGGGGGAAATCCGGCATTGTTATCCTATTATCTCTGAGATAATGTGAGATATGAGACTTCTCTTAGATAAGAGGCACACTACTTAAGGCAGTCTAGATCACTGGCAGGAGACTACTAAAACTCAAAATCCTGATACCATTGCTCCCTTGAGAAAGACTCATCACCTCAGTTGGCACTTGTGCCAAAAAAAACACTAAGACAGAAAGAATGTATAGAATGTCTAAAGGATCAATAGATGGACAGAGCAAAAGAGACAGGCAGAGAGATAAAAGAGGAAATAACATGGGTGTCTGCTAGATGGACTGATAAGAAAGAACGAAGTAATATCAAAGCAAAATTATATATTGTTTTTCATATTACTGTCTCCTGATTGCTTCCTCCGTATTTGAATGCAAGCCCATGCCTTGTTAATTTGTGTGTACATTAATCATTTTCAGTGACAAATGAACTGCCATGGATGCCTGAAGGCTGCAGGGGAAAAGTTGGTGAGAACAGGCTTCTTGGCATCAGATATCCGGCTCAGCCTGAATATACTGCCTGAACCCAACCTGGCTCTGTCTGCAGGAGCCAAGTGGAGAGGTAAGGTGCTCATAATCCTAAACCATAAATCTGTCCAGCATGCATCATATGCTCTCATTTTGTGCATGCATGTGTGTGTCTGTGTGTGTGTGTGTGTGTGTGTGTGTGTGTGTGTCTGTCACACTCTCAAATTACTCTGCTCCCCTGAGCCAAGACGGAGGATAAAATATGAATCAGCTGAAGTCTAGGATAGTTTCCAGTCTCTCCAGACTCCCCAGCCATCATCAAGCAACACAAGCGAGCGTTCCTATACAGACACACACAGATATCCATGCAACTCTACACACTAAAAATTTCAAGTCTCTCCACTTTGTGCTAAGCTTCTGTCAAATACACTCTCTGCTGCACATTTGACACTCATATCCCTCATATTTGCCAAGTGTCTCTCTACTGCAGCTGCCGGAACCCTTGCATATAGTGACAAGATTACAAGAGTCGGTCTTTCTTTTTACCTATAAATCAATTAGATAAAGTGATGTGATCCAGCTCTGCTATAAATGCTACTGCCTGTGGAGACAGGGGTTATGTGCTTTTAAAGCAGATGAGACTATACGCACAACTAGAGAGATTTTTTTTTCTCTTCATTCCTTCACATGCATTAATCATATTCTTTACATTAGTCTTTCCTTTTCACTGTTCGGCAATTGCTTTCACTTTTATTTCTCTTTTTCTTAAACTCTATGTTTCTGGTTTGTCTGATTTCTGTCGATAACTAAAGCCCTGTGACCCTTTCCCTTGTTGGCTCTGCACAAACTGCTACCTAAAAACACTTTATATACAACAGTCTAGTCACTTTGAATTAAAGTGTTTGAGTGACTGCCTGGCACCTTTGCCAACCTGCTGCGCAATGTCCTGGCGTCTGACTGCCCCAGGTGCAGGAAAAAGCCCTGCACTGTAAACACACAGTGAGGAAACTGTGCTGTATAGGAGACAGACACAGACAAATTCCACACAGATGCAAGGTATCTACAACTGCATACACCTAAAATATAATTTGCTAACATCTTAGAGGAGTGCATCACATCAGAATCCTTTGAAATTTTAATATCCCATACTGACATACAGTATGCAATAACACAGCCTCTCAGTATAATGATAATATTATCCAACCCCCTTGAAGTTAATGAAGTTCTGGGTGCCTACAGGGCAATCCCCACAAAGTTCTTTTAAACCCCACCATTAAAGGCTAGAGTGAGAGTATGCACCACTTTCTGCAGTGACATGCTGTCAGACCAATGAGTGGGCCTAAACACACACACCTATAGAAGTAGACAGCACCTCCCCCCGCACTAGCCCCCACAAAGACACACACACAACACTACAAACCCTGATGCTTTGCTGCAATTGATATGGGCTTCACCCACACAAATGCAGAATGCATCTACTATGCACCCGTGGATGCTTGCATTCTGAAATAATAAGCCATAAAATGAAATACAACGATATATACACTGCTGCCAATCGCTAACTTTAGTTCAACATCCTGCAAATTTCTGGTTTGAATCAGTTTAGCTACAGAACACTGGAAAATAAAGGCCAGTGAAGTTACCACTTAATCTACACTTCAGGTGCGACTAGGACCCCAGTGGAAAGTATAACGGCATTCTCAAGTACACAGTTCTATGTAACCTCCCTCCAATAAGGAGTTGATTATGAAGCCATGACCTCAGAATGCTGCAGCCTTCCTAGAAGTCAGGAGCCATTTGGTATTTATAGAGGCTTAATGGTAGTGCCTATGTGCACTGGCTGTCTAGTATCCATCATCAAGCCAGCATCACAACCTTTCCAATAGGAGTCATGACAGAATAGTTTACAACATAGTCTGCTATTCAAGATTATTTTCCTAGAACCACCACATATAGTCCTGTTGCAATAAACTGTCTGGAGAGGTTCCTTTGCTTTTCATTGGTTATCCCCCACCCACCAACACCCCACCTGCCAGCCTCCCAAGCAAACTGCCAAGCTATACCACTTAATTTCATTTTATTTCATCAGCAGCTTACAAACTTTTTTTCCCTTCCCTTGCCACACCAGAAAAAAAAGCAGACAGTTTTGCATCAAAATGTTTTGCTCATGCATGATATTGTTGATTGAGATGAAAATGTAGTAGATGATACAAATAGTGTTTTCTAATTCACAAATGCCGCTGTCAAACTGCCTGATATAACTGTAAAATTACTTGCATGAGAGTGTACCTGCTTCATGCACAAGTGAGGGGCAAAGTAGCAGGATTTGGCAGCTTGGGTTCATACATGGACAATCTGAAAACATGGCTTCATATTAACTTTTTCAAACTGACTTTACGTGCATTCCTGGTGAAACAGATTGTTTTATGTATCCACACCCACTATATTCCATGACTACACTGAAAACTTTGCATAGAAATTTCTTGTCATGTAGTGTAAAAATTGACTCGCCACATGCAAATATTAAGATTTATGGACCTTCTGTCCCACTCCTAACATATAAAATATTTTACAGAGCTTCATTGTGTATTCAAAATCCTGCTAATTCAAATAGGAGTCCTATCTGATGAGACAGCTTCTCTTAAAAGTTGAGAAAAGCTGTTGAAAGAGCCAAGGCTAGGCAGTTGCATAAGAAATTAAAGTTACCTAAGCTGCTGAGTGACAGTATTTCGATCCACTGTTTGTTTGGTTCCTATAATAAAGCTGCACATGTGACTTCTAAGTGTATGCTTACATTACAACTCTGTCTCTGACCAAAGCCAGGTCAGCCAAGTTACTGGCATTAGACCTATGGCTGCCTGCTTTAAACGATTTACCTAATCCCCCGTCATTACCTGGAATGGGCCATGTGTCTCATTTGTGGCCTGAAATAGACCAGGACCTCAGACTGTCACCGTCAAACCCCATAATTTATAGTTTCATAAATAGCAGACTTTAGTGCTAAAGATAAAGAGGCCTGGTGGTTGAAAACTCTTGGTGTGAGTGCAGCCCTAATGAAACAAAGTCTACCTGGAGACATACCTTTACAGAGTTCAGTTTAATGGGACTTGCTTAGGGTGTCAGTGTGGTGCTTGTGATTAAAGCTAAGGCCAGTAGAGGAAACTCTGAGAAGTGACAGAGTTTATGTTATGCAACACAAACACAATATGTTTTGACAAAAGACCAAGTCCTCAAAAATACAAAAGTAATGGCATGTTGTGGGACACATGCCATTACTTAGAGAGTTCTGGAAGAGCAGGTATCATGCAACCCTGCCAACTCAGTAATTCTTCCCATAAGTATTTAATGAGTTGAATTTAGCAATAAGCATTACCAGTCTATTTAATAATGGGTTCATGTTGGAAAAGAGCTATAGCTTGCTTCTTTAAATCCTGTTTAGTGGTCTTGTTTTATTGGAAACCAAATGTCCTACAGAACCACACATGAACACTCGAGAGTAAGATTCTGATGACTGTCAAAGAGCTGCCATGCTGTACAGCCTTTATCACCCTGGAAAAGACTGTCTTTTTAGATGCAAACTTAATATAGCCTCAAGGTCTCAGCTCAGCAAAGATGCATTATCAGAAGCATCACTGCTCTGCTGATCTCCCTGTACCTTCTCCCCATCATCGAATGGTCATAATAAATAGAAACAAGATGAGTTGGAAGCAGAAGCTGGGCAGATGTCCAAGAGGTTACTTTAGGCTTTCAGCCAGCCAGACAGTGGTGGTGGACTGTGGTCAGTTGTGAGCACCCCCTCTTAATATTTACACTGTGGATAGCTGACACGTGATCTCAAACAAGTGTCACGCTGTTGATCCCTAGATGCGTTTTACACACACAAGTAGAAGAAAGTGTGTACTGCCTATTTGCATGAATATGCGTTGTATAGTTGTCTATTTATCTGCAACATTCGTTTGCGGCAGATGTGGAGGTAAATCATTATTAATCACTGTGGTCCTACTCCTTGTGAACGGATGAGCTGCTCTCTGCAGCTGGGATAAGCAAAGCCTTGTCACACACAGCAAGTGACTCCATTCCAGTCTCTCGCCTGCTGCCATCAATGATCTATTAAAATGACTGACGGCAGTAATGAACTAAGACAAGATAACGCATGGCACCATTCATGCGTAACCGACACCGAATCCCACGGTGACATGTGTATGGCACGGGGGTTAAAATTCATAATGGCTTAGTGAATAAGAATAATACTCATTATGATCACTAGATACTCTGTGATTAACATGTCAAAGCTCCGTCATGCTTGTCCGTGTGCTTTATCCCTTACCTTCCAGCCAGCTGAGCTATTACTATCGCCCTTATCCTTGAAATAGGGCACATAGCGGACCATCCAGTCATATATCTGTGACAGCGTGAGTCTCTTTTCTGGGGTGCTCTCAATGGCGCGGGTAATGAGATCCGCGTAGGATTGGTTTCCCCACGCATTCCGCCGCGAGGATTTGGCTTTGCGCAGCGGTCCGGTCACATCAAGAGCCGCGCCAGCCAGGCAAGGGTGCGTAGCGCCTGTGGGTGCTGGGGCGCCGGCTGGATGCTTCAGCTCTCCCGGTGTTCCGCCCACGAGCCCCGCTCTGCAAGCCGGGATATCCTCCGGTTCTACCTTGATATTGGCCAGTGGAAGACCCCTGTTGACCTCGTGTCCACCGGGGAAGTCCTCCGGACAAGGCAGCGGCCAGGTACATGAGCGAGGCCGGCTTTGCGGCTCGAAATCCGAATCAACCTGATGAGCGTCTAATTCGTCGTCTTCCATCATCAACATTTACCCTTCAGTGGAAAATGGAATAAATCAAATGGAGAGCAAGGGAGGGGAATACTTCCACGATTCCCGTATCCTACTGTCCTCAGTATCACTTCACTTTGAAATTCGCTTTGTAATGCGTCTATTAAGCTTAGTGTTTGATTCAACGAGAGGCTATTCAAAAGAGTAGAACGACCATGATGAATAGACGCAAAATCACAGCCTCACGTGTAGAGATAACAGAAGTAATAAAAGTAATAATAATTTTTCGTCCATTTTACCAGGAACAAAATATCAAATTGTTGTTAAGATGCTTCTTATTTAACTGTCCTCATCACCTCAAGACAGTCAGTCTCAAACGTGTGTCAGAGCCAGTCATGGGGGCTTTTCAGTCCACTTGCAGCAACAGATGATATTTCAGATAAGGAGCATATTTGCAAAGCATACGTCGATAAATCCTCCAGAATACAATGGGGGAAAGGGAAAGATCACCAGGGGTGTGTAGAGAGTATCCACTGAGGCGATAATGCGTGATTACCGTGAATTATTAAATCTTCCAGTCTGCACGGATTAAGCTGGCAGTGGCACATTCAAGTCCATTCAGCCTGAACAGCACCCAACTGTCTGCAATTATAATGAAGAGGCGTGCGCATGTGACGAATCGATAAATTCCCAGTCTGGAAAATATAGAGAAAAAATAGTCCAGCAATCAAATCTGGTATCCACTTGTCAGAGCGATAAAATTGGCTTTTATCTCCTCCTGCTCCTCTCTATCCCCTTTGCCCTTTTTCACTCTCTCAGATCCCACACGTTCTCATTTGCTTACAACTCGTTCCGTCGATGTGAACTGAGGATGACGCGCCGGCGCTGTAGTGGAGATGTTGCCAATTGGAGTGTGCTCACGAAATCAATAGCCTACTCTCTGAACATGATTACAGCGAAACCCTGAACTGTCTTTCTCTTGCTCTCCCCCCCCCCTCTATTATAAGCGGAGTGAGCAAAACTCAAATTCTTAATCAAAACCCTGCACAGTGATCTTTCTGACGGAGCGTCACATTGTGCTTTGTGTGCCAGCCTCCACGTCCAGCCGTGATAAAACAAGACAATGTGGGGAAATTCCTGCACAATCTCGATAGGGTTTTAAAATAGCCTAGGGTGGCTCGTCCGTCTTTGTGTGTAACAAATAGCAACGTGTACAGTATTTTGCGTCCAAATGCCCTCCGGGGAGGCGGTGGCCAGGAGGCTTCACCTCTTCTGATTAGCCTATTTGCGGGCTACACCTCAGTGAGTGTAATTTTCTATGCCGATTAGACAGATTTGGTACAGATTAGGTAACCCTAGATTTTAATCCGGGAGGAGTGAGCTGGATGGGGGCTTTTCAGACGCTATAAGAAAAATCATATTTGTTCCACGCTCCAGCCAAAGTGAGGAGAAATAGAACACTCGAATATTAACATCTGAAATCGCATTTGCCAAGACCGGACAGCAGAGATACGCTTCTCTAGCAGACATTGCCCTGGTCAGACCCGTGCGTTATACCGCTACACTGACCGAAGGGGATTCCGCCCCTCCACCCCACCACCTCCTATACTCTGACAGCAGGGCGGGCACACGGCCACAGGTGCTCTCCTCCCATTGGCTGTTTATTTCCCGAATAAACGCTATTAGACTAAAATAAAAATCTGGGCTGGCAGCTTCGCGTTGGACCTCACCTTTTCACCTCTATCGACCCAGAGAAGATTTGTTGAGCTCACAGGCTATTCTACAGCAACAGTCTGCTTCACATTTTTATGCACATTCACACCTGTTATGTTGATGGTTGCTGTGGGGAGAATATTATTTATTCATGGACTTTTACAGACAGCCCTACTTTTACACACTCATATGCAGCTACAATTTCTGATAATGTTTGGAAGTTAAGCAGCAAGCATTTTAACCGCCCAAGGAGTAATCAGTATGACCTATGGGGGTGTGTTATATTGCAGTCAAAATATTCAACAGATGAAAATTAAATTATCCCTCAACATGGAGGCATACACGGGGCATGTGGAACCCTAAATTCATATTAACAATTAATTCTAATCAACACATTTTGCTTAATATCTATAACTAATTTAAAACACCCACATTATTAAGAGGGATGCAAAGCTCTCGCAGAAAGGTGCAATACTCTAAAGATCTCACCCTTTTCATGCAAAGTGCACTTAAAAGTTGTACAGCATAGCCACACCATGTATCAAACATGACTGATGGTGAGAAATTTAGGTCAAAAATAGCACACATAAATTTGGGAGGATGTGTCATGGAATGACTTAATGCTGTGGTATCACATGGTTAAAATGCCACACTGCTAGTTTATGTAAAAACCTTACAAAACACTAATGCACTGATTGATGGGAATTATTATTTATTATATTTTCATTATCATGTGCCAAAAATAACAATCAAGCCAATGCTTGAGACAATAAGCTGTTCATATCCTTTAGTTTCTAACACAAGGTTCTAATTGCGATGCTGGTTCACAAGCAGGCCTAACACTTGAGTGCCATTATTTTGGAAACTGAGATTGTGTCTTGATTACACATAAAATGACAGAAAACTCTAAAGATCAACGATGACCAATGATCTGATCGAGAGACTGATAGCAGAAATAAATCTCCAGAGAGGCAACACCCAGGAGAAAAGAAAAGGACCCATGCATCGATAGTTTAAGAACTACATGTGTTTTTGCTCCCTTCCAGGCTGACTGTTAGGCAGTTCCCATACCAGACATTCCAGAGGCAGAGTAGCTGGCTTCAGGCTATGAGTAGCTGATCCTGGAACAGCATGTGCTGCACAGCAGTAATCACCTCAGCCAACCACAAGCAAAGCAGAGCAGTACATCAACAACAAGAGAGAGCTTTGTGCCTGTCAGTTTCCACCCTGAAAAAGTGTTCTGGAATTTCATTCACATAAGGAAGGGGACACGCTTTTCACTAATTTCTGGAAAGCCCATCTTCATTTACTTAGACCCGCCACTTTAGCCATCCTTCGTAACCTCATGATGTTGTGCAATTTATCCCTTCACCTCATTCTGCCCAGTGGGATTAGTACGAGAGGAAGCTGGAGAAGCCACAATGACACCCCTGGGAGATCGATGCCTGTCTGGGAAAACACCTCCCCCTGATTCTCCTCCCATCTCAGCAAACAGCCCACACTCTCTAGGAGCCACATGGGCTCCCAATGACACAGGAAGGAGAGGGCTCAAATCCAAGTATTGGGAACGTTTGAGTAGGCGAAGCTGGATTTCACCCCTTTGTGGCACATGCCCAAATAGGCTGACTTGTAAACTTCCTGCCCCGAGCAAGAGCCAGCTTTCTGTGGCATCTTGGCATCTGTGCTGCCAAGTATGAACAGTATGTTCAGAAGCAGCAAAGACAATTGGTGCCAAGAGTTTTAATTAAGACTGTGTTGTTGAATGGGAAGTAAAGGCATGTGCAGGTAATGACTTCTACCATATTTTAGAGGTCTGAAAGAACATGATTATCTGCCTTAGCCAATTAATTATATTAAAGATCCATAATAACAAAATGGCCCAAGGAGGAAAATCAGTGTGAGCTGTTCTCATACCCAAAAGTGCAACAAGATTAACTATATTGTAATAAAGTGCTGATGTCAAAGATATTTAAAAGCTGTAAAAGCTGTGCATGGACAGTGTAGTGATGTTGTTGCACTGAAATTGTGCACTCCTTTTCAAGAAACGGGACACAGTGCAAACTAGCAGAATTTGATTCTATTATGTGTTATCTTTTCCAACAGGTGTCTAAAGGCTAATCATTTATTCAGGTCAATTATCAATAAAATGTCAAACATTTCCAACTTCATAAACATGAGCTGCTAAACGTTTTTTGTTTTCCTCTGATTTGTATCACTCTGAATACATTTAGGTATTGGACTTTTTTAAAGAAAACAAGCCATTTTCTAGACTGATCAGTCAATAAGACAAAAATAAAAAGGTAGATTGACTGAGAATTAAAATAAAATGCATACATGCATGCTACATAGATGTTGAAAATGAATATTCTTTCAGTTTTTTAAGAAATTATAATTCATCTTCAAAATTTAAAAACACCTGATGTTCTGTAAGTTATTTACAAAAAAAGCTATTTGAAGACTGGACTCAAGGAAGTTTCCATAAATTAGTGATTAAACACTAATTGACTGATTAATCATAACCCTTGCTACTCTGCTGCAGCACAGATCAGCTTGTGAACACAGAAGTGTCTGTATGACCCCACACTCTACAAAATGCTCATAACTCACAGTAACAACCCCACAATGAAAACTAATCAATTTGATGACCACTCATGTTATGCCCCTACAAAACCTTAGTCGTAGACTAATCAAAAGTTGTGTGTGTGTGTGTGTGCTGACTGAGTGTGCCACTCTGGCCTCAGTTTCTTCAAATAAGCCATGCAACATATATTGCCTTTGGCAACAAGCTAAATCCCTCAGTTGTGCAAGTCTGTGGCTGGCTACATCCACAATAGCTGAGGAGGCCTGATGCCAAGACAATGATTAGCCTAGCTATGCCTCTGTTCTCTAAGCAACGAGGACTGGAGGTGCAGTGGGAGTAGCTAGCTCATCACCAAAGAGCACTGTGCTAAACACAAGTTTAAGTGGAAGGAAGCCAGCAGACTGTAGTGTATCCATGCCGGACCTATAAAGCCTTGAGAAAGAAGGCATCAGCCACTTTAAAACTTAATTCACTCAAAGCTGAAACATCATGCTTCAGTCCTAAGGGGCAATAGTCTGCTTCTAGTTGGTAGAACATAAAACTGTTGCCATCAGATTATTCTTTCTCATTGATGGACAACTTTATGTATTAAGCAGTAAGATATAAAATGAGGTGAAATTTGAGCATAAAATGATTTACCCTCATAACACACAAAACAGTCTCTTAGAAACAATAAAATTGAAATTTGAGCATAAAATGATTTACCCCCATAACACACAAAACAGTTTCTTAGAAATGTACAATAAAAAGAAGTGTTTAAAAGGTGATTTTCAAGGTGCACCAAATGCATGTGGAAGCAATGTTACTCACCTTTTCTTCCAGCAAGCTGGTCCTCATCAGCCTTCATATGCAGGTAGGTCAACACAGAGAGACAGCCATCTGCCCTCAAGCTCTCCTTCAGACATGCACATGGTCACTCTACATCAGAAACCCCTGCAAATGCATCTTCCTGTAGAGGTATTATTAGAAGCACTCATGTCTTATTGCCCACATTATTATCATAACTGACAGGATGTGCATTAGTTACTTCAGTCTCCACAGCAGATTGGCCATAATGTTGACACACTAGTATACAGGCAATTTTAAAATTCATCATGAAGAGTGAAGGACCTGAGGCAGCTGTAGTGCTTTCATGTGTAATAGTCCCAGCTCAAGTTCCTGTGAAAGAGGCACTAATGGGTTAACAGTAAAAATGAGAGGGGAAGAGAGGGAAAATCAATGCTTTTGTTGAGGGGAAGAAAGAAAGGCTTTCACAGGTCTATGTATCATTAAGCAATTGAGAAAGCTAATTAGAGTGGGGGGGAAAGATGTGCAGATCTCACAGCTAATTATTTCCATGGCAACCACAGCTCCTGTAGATTATCTGAGGTAGTTCACTTTGCTCCAATCAAGACAAAATGTTCCATGAAGCGCAAGAGAGACCCCTAGTGGGATAAACTAACCGTGTGTTACCAACTTCAGCAAAATGATGGAAAAGAACTTCCATCCATCCACTATGTGTAGCGCTTATCCTGAAGAGGGTTTTGGGGTGGGTTTGGAGCCAATCCTAGCTGAAAACAGGTGAGAGGCGGGGCATACCCTGGACAGGTTTATAACTTTATAATTTTAATATAAAACAAGAATCATGTTAAATTTAAAAACATTACTTCAGTAGGAAAAAAGCAGCATTACACATACTCACCTTTTATTTAACTGTTAATCCCCTCTGAACATAATTATTTAGTCATTATCTTACTGTAGCTGTGTCTGGGGAAGGAAAATAAACCAATGTGACTAAGGAAAAAATAATCATACAATTAAAAATCAATAACTTAAGGGTGTACGTAAAAGCCAACTAAAAAAACTTAAAAATCCAGAAGCACATAACTCTAAGTCATATCTCATAATGACCCGTTACCAATATGACAAATGACGAATGATAATTTGCTGTTTTGTTTTCTACTAACACTTTATGTATTAAGTGGTTCTTATGCTGCTGTTTTACATTCAGTGGAGACACTGGCTTCTTACATTTCTTCTACCACCTTCTATTTATTCCTAACATACATACAACACTCTGCTTCTGTGCCAAAAACTATTTTCTCCCAGGAACACCCTGATAAATATATACTACAAATGTTCAAACCTTAATAAACGGAGAGCTGATCAATGACACAGTATTACTTTCTGGCCACTAAGAAGATCACTAGTATGTATGAAAGTGACAGTATGAAATTTTACATTACCATATTTTGATGGTAACCAATGGAAAACAGTTGTTGTGACAGAAGAGACATTTTCCAGCTCACAAAACAAATTAACCAAGCGTAACTGTTATGTCAAAGTTTCAATGTATTTTCATTTCAGAAAACATGTGAATACTGTTCTTTAAAAAAAAAAAAAAAAAAGGCACATGAATTTGTCCATGGTAGTCAGAGAGGACTTGAGCCCCTTAATTATCATTTAATGTCTCTGTTTGCTTGGGTCAATCTTCTCCAGGTGGACCAGGGGCTTGAGCTGCTCGGCAAAGCTGCGCATGTCCTCTGACACAGTGTCCTGGCCAGCAGGCGCCAACACACTAAGCTCCACCAAGTATGAGAGTGACAGACGCTCAGCAGTTTCCGTGTTCCCTGGTACTAGGATGCGTGACAACTTGCTAACCACAACTTTCATCACGCCTTTGCGAAATATGTGTCCATTGGCCACAAACTCATGGTCCATGCGGAAGCCCATCTCATTTAGGAACTCTGGCAGGCTGTGAGAGGCAGCCACATCCACACAGTTGCGTACCAAGGCATGGCGGCTCTTGTCTCCCACTTCAGGTTGACCCAGGTAGCGTAGGTGCCATGGAGCTGTGGGGTGGGAGAGGGAGCGCCGGGCACGCAGAATGAAGGGGTTGCCTTGCTGGCCTTTTAGAAGATAAACCTGTTCATGATCTGTAAAGGTCTCGGGTTCCATGTTGTCACACAGGCCTCGAAGGCGATGTAAGAGGCTTTCCAGGGCCTGGTCTAACACACTGCCTGAATTGTTAAAGGGAAACAGGTACATAAATATAAATAATGGTGACTTGGATTGCACAGTATATTGTATTTATAATTATTTCAATACATATTCCCTCAAACACCACAAAAAACTGCCACATTACAAAAGCTGACACTCCATAAAACAGCTGATAAAGGAAATACTGTATTTCACAAAAAATGAATATTGTGTAAAAATGTATTACCTGAATATATGTACACACATAAATATACACACACGCACATATTACAATATTATAAGCATTCTTCTGAGGTAAGTGGTATTAAAACAACAGTGAAGGATATTACAATTTAATAAATCCATGTATATATATACACACACACACACACACACACACACACACACACACACACCCTACAGCCCAAGCAGGAACATAATATTTTGCCTTTTTTCCGTTTTAGGCATTAGTTACATCCATAACTAATTTTATGTGATATTGCTAAATTTCTAAATAAGTTTGCTATTGTTTAGCTACTTTTCCGTTACCTTGCAGCAAATATTCCATCATATTGATTGTGCCCCCAGTGACTGGCATCACGGTGACGGGAGGAGCCTCCATCTTTTCTCGGAAACTTTGCTATTTTTGAATCTGAAGGAGCAAAGTCATATTAGATAGCATTTGACTGTTAGCTAACCGAGTAATTTTAAACACCTAATGTTACCTAGCCTAGCAACAACGGTTAGCTAAATGTAGCGACTAACGTTAGCTAATTCATGTAGCTAGCCTTAGTCATTAGTCAATTCACTCGCTTCATTAACAGGTAGTTACCTGAAATCCCCAGAAAATGCAGCGCGTCACCTGCTGAGGAACTAAATCTTGTTAGTCTTTGGCAGAGCTCCACAGCGAAGACCGAGGATTCGGTAAACCTCACCGGTTTATTCAATCAACACAGGGCTGAAGTTAGTACCTCCCCAGCTAGGTCGCAGCTAGCTAACTTGGATATTCGCTGTTATCCGCAACGTAAGCCGTTATAGCTAATCAAAGTTGCCGCGCTAAGTGTTTCAACGTTAAGTTACTTGAACAGGATGACATGTATCTATCTATGCAAGAGACGATAAAAACATATAGTGAAACCCCTTTGCTAGTCATTTGATAAAAAATGAACACAGTCACACATCTCACTAGCCATACTTCCTCTGATTTGTATCACAGAGCTGAGTTTAGCATCCAGCGTTGAAGCACATTACCGCCGCCTCCTGGGGCACAGACCTATATAACCGGAAATGGAAGCGCTGAAGTAAAATTACAGAAAAAACCTACACAGATTAAAGTAAAAGTCCTGCATACAAAACTTTTCTCAACTAGCTTGCTAGTTAAAAGTATAGATATACTATCAAATAAGTGTATAAAAAAGTAAAATCTCATGCACAACTGACACCACGAATTTAAATTTAAACATCGCCATGTTTAATGTCCACTTAGAATGTTTTATTACTATAACAGTCTATACTATTACATTGGATTATAATTGAAGATGCATTAAATTATAAGCCGTGATAACAGAAGTACTCCGGTCATTTATATAAAATATAATTACCATATTGTAAAAATACTAATTTTATCATTACAGGTAAACTCTTAATCATCACAAATGTATTAAAAGTATTTAATACATTTAAATTTAAATTTACTCTTCATACTTTTAAACTATTATGTACATTATTATTTTATTATTGCTTATTAATATGTAAGCAAGAGTAATTTGGATATTCTTTGTATGTAAAATTCTACAAGCTGACAAAAAATGTAATAGAGTTTTCAAAAATCACTCAAAAATCAATTAAGAGCAGTACTGTGTAAATGCATTTTAATGTTTTAACTGGCATAGAGCAAATTTTTGCATACAGTGGACTAGTTTAATGATCATCTCTGTTTATTCTGCACTGTAATTATAACTGTAGTATAATCTAATAAATATATAAATAAATGTAGTTAAATCAAAAAGTACAATATTTCCCTGTAGCTATCAATGGAAATAATTAATATACAAGTAACCTGTAAATGTACTTATGTTCAGTTTGCATAAATGTATTTATATTGTGTAGAAAATTCAATTAGATTTATAAGGTCACTTCACACTGGAAATTTCATAACCATAAAAGACAGATGCTTCGGAATTTCCCTTCAGGGTGGGTGAAGTCACAAACACCTTCTCTCATGTAATTCATCCATCCATCCATCCATTATCTATACCATTTATCCAGCTGCAGGGGTGCTGAAGCCAATCCCAGCTGACACTGGGTGAGAGGCGGGGTACACCCTGGACAGATCACCAGTCCATCGCAGGGCTGACACTTAGAGACAGACAACCACACACACACACACTCAGTCCTACGGGCAATTTAGAGATGCCAATCACCCTAAGATACATGTCTTTGGACTGTGGGAGTCATCCGGAGTACCCGAAGAAAACCCAGGCAGGCATACAATAATAACAGTGGTTGTCTTCATTTGGGACCTGTTCTCTATACTTTTATTTCACTATACACACACTCGCTAGAATTCAGATCATTATTTGTTGTCTTAGCAGGTCTCCTGAACATAACTGATGAATAAACTATTGAAGTGTCCTCTTCCACCTGCAGTAAGAAGTAAGAAATTTCATTACCCAAGAAAAGAATAACCCACACTTATTCATTGCCATACTATACATGAGTATTAGGTTACGCTCTTATCATTATCATTTTTATTGACACTTACCTTTCCATCAATGCCAAAAGAACAATCTGACAATTCTTTAGAGAAACAGAAAGATAAATAGACTTAGCAGGGACACATAAACTCACCTAGCCTGATAATCTTATCTCGTAACCCTAGCCTTATACATTTACTTCAGCCTTTGACACATTATGCAGTCACTGTTTTGATAAGATAAACAGCTGCATATCCTACCTGCCCATAGTCTTGGTCTGGAACAGAAAATTAGAAGTGCCATTAAAATAAGGCACATAAGGGTGACTGATGTTCCAGAAATAACTGCCGTCAGATATTTGTTCTCTGTATGACCTGTAAGACCGAAAATAGAATATCTGATGTTCTTTTGATTCAGGTTATAAACCTCTTACAAAGAAATATTACACAACACCCACCTGTTGTTTTGTTTGAAGCATTTGATGCATGAACTACATTATAAATATCAAACATCTGCTTTGTACTGCAGTTTAAAAACTCATATGAATCTACGTGCACTGATGGAGCTCTTGTGCCTGTCTCCTCGTTTGACATGCTGTTAGGTTTGATGTTACTGAATTCCATGTCACATATCATGGCACATGAAACCAATGAATCCCCATTCTGGTGTACTGTAACACAGCAAAATATTCAAAATTAAACCTTTTAATGTTAACATAAAATAATGTATATGTGTGTTATTCTCTTACCCATCATTACACACAAGTTGATTGTGAGCAGCTTTTGTCTGTGCCCACCACATCTACTCATCCAGCAGGTATATTTCCCAGCATCTGCTCCTTTTACATTTTTAATATGTATAGACTTGCTGGAAGTCACAAAGTCTGTTTCCGGCCTTCTGACTGAGTTCCTGAAAGCAGTTGTGTTACTTGCTTCAAAAGTCCATTTAAAGTTCCTAAATTCACCTGGACACACATGTGTAAAACTGTTGTCTGCAGTCACGTAAACTGTCTCATGAATTTCATCCAGAATTTCTGAAAAATAAAAAAGTAAAGGGCTTTGACTATGAAGATGGACTTTGACAAACGATTTTGAAAAATAGGATAAAATCAGTAGGTTTTGGTCTTTAGGTTCTGTCCTAAGAGAAAAAAAAGTTCTTGCAATAGCTCAAACCTTTGTCCACTTTGATGACGGTGGTCTGTTCACTACTGCATCTGTCTTTGTAACAGTTTTCACACCAGTACAGGCCTTGATCATCTTCTGTAAAATCACTGATGACCAAGGAACGATTTTGTGTAACACGCCCTCTGGGACGAAATTGATAATGGTGTTGTAGTCCTTTCTTGTCTTCAAAAAAAATCTGGATTTTCTCACTGTGTTCATCCTTCTTGTAAAACCATTTGAAAGAGTTTGAGTCACGTCTCTTATGTTCACAAGGTATCACAGCGCGACATCCCAGTGAGAACTGAAGGTGATATGTGCCTCCTAAAATATCAATTTATAACACTAATATGAAAAGTATAAATCATGTATTGTCACACAACGATAACCTTTCTAAATCTGCATTTTAAATATGGTAATAATAATGAATTACTCAGTTACTTACCTTCTCTTGAGGCAAAGATGGAAAGGTTCCAAATTAACATTGAAAAAATAAAGCCTTTTTGCATCTTGACTGAGGCACTCAGGTTTCTGTGGAAATAAAGACAATAGTGAACACACCGAAACCCTTTTTCCGGTTACACTACTGCTGTTTTTCAAAAGACAGATCACAAACATTTAGTCTGAGCACAACATTAAATTCATGCTGACATGCAGGAAGTGGTCGAACAGTCAATGCAGAGGAAAGGCAGCAGTGCTTTCACCCCCACATTTGTTTCTGATGATGTGGTGTTTATTCCAGTTTTTGCATCAGCATAGGTGTTGTAATTCAATATGTGCATCAGTAACAACCGTAATATCTCATTTGAATGTGTCAAGCTGCTTGTTCTCACTGTGGTTTGTGCATTCTAATTTGTGCCCGTTACTCATTTGACAAAATTTGTATTATTTGAATAAAAAAATAACTGTCTTTGTGCTGTTAATACAGTTCATTCACCTCCAATATTAAACTCAAGATTCTTGTAGTGCCTATCTTGCTTCATAAAATACAAGTTTATTTAAATACTCTGAAAGGTCAAAGATTATTTAGATTAACAGAAAGTAGCACATTGTATGGAAAGTGCAACTATGGAAACACTTACATGACATGAACAATATGAATCAGATGTGAGTCACATACATACAATAAGATTATTAATTCTTACTGAAACAATTTTAAAGAGGTGTTTATTCAAAAATATTAAAGAACTAATACATTTCAATATAGTGTTTATTACTGTTATTATCTATAATTGAATACCTTTGCTATGTAAAATCTAGCTTCTTACACCTGACGCAGTTAAGCAAGGTCAAGTCATTCCTCTCTTTTATTCATTTTGAGATTGCAATCCATGCTTTTATCACTTCTAGACTTGATTATTGCAATGCTCTATACCTAGGTGTTAACCAGTCCTCCCTCGCTCATCTCCAAATGGTGCAAAATACGGCTGCTCATCTTTTGACAAGTGCTAGGAAATTCGAGCATCTAAACCCGGTACTGGCTTCTCTCCACTGGCTTCCAGTCCATTTTAGAGTTGATTTTAAGTTATTTATTTTTGTTTTTATGGCTCTTAATGGTTTGGCACCATCTTACCTCACTGAATT